GTGACTCTTTGAAGTAGGAACTAAGATTATTCCCACATGACAGATGCAGGAGGAAAGACAAGATAAAGGATTTTCACAAAGCTACATAACCGATACATGGGAGAGCTAAGATTCAGAGCCAGGCTGTCCGGCTCCAGAAACCTTACTCAATACAACCACCAATCCCAAATGACTTCATTATACTAGAACCTAGCATAACCCTGACAATTCATTATCTGTTGAAAAAGCCAAAATCAAACTATTACTACCCATTTAGTGTTTACAGTCCTAGGCGATATGTTCTAACCAAGCCCCTAGACAAATTTCACCTATTTTCAGGATGTGGATTGTGTATTTTAGGACTTTCTCTTGAAAAGAATGTTTCTTGAGTCCTTTCACACATAGGTACCAGATACCAGCAACGTAGATGAAAAGGATCCTCTCAGTCTAGTGGGGGACAGAAGTAGCAAGATGAGCATTAATATACATTCAAAACACTCATTACTGGTTCAGAAATTTTGGTCATTTAGATTCAGAAATTACTACTAGTTTGAAAAGCTGACAGTTTTCTTTAAAGTAACCACTGTCATATCTCCAGGAAGTCACACAATGCCCCTAAGTGGGAACTCTCAGTTAAACTCTTGAAATGCAAAAAGGCATCATGCTTCTTAAAGAGCACCTAATTCTCATTCTCAGTTGTGTTTGCTGGAGATGTATTTGCTCTCTAGCAAAATTTAAGTAACCTGAATAAAAAAGCCAAAAAAAATAGTCCTGGTTATAAATTTCTTCAACATAAAAAACCACTTTGTTTTGGATTTTTGAACTGGCTAAGGCTGACCAACCCCCAACTGGGGTGGGGGAGAAATGGCTGGAAGAGAAATACAGAGTTAAGAGGAATACAAAGGACACAAATATGAAAAGATGCTCCATCACACTCATGGTAAAAGACATGAAAACTAAAAATTCAGAATGAAAAACTCCAAAAGCTTCGTCATGTAATCGCTGAACAGACTATGGAAACAGACGCATTCTTATGTAAGTGCCAGAAGAGAAAATGGGTACTAACCAATCAAATTTGCCAACAGCTATCAAAATTCCAAATGTGTATACACTCTAAACCAGTTATCCTGCTTGCGGGAACATATGCAATAGATACATCTGCATATACGTAATGTAAAACAATTATGTATGAATGATTCATTATAACACTGCTGTAGCAAAAGATCAATGCCCATCAACAGGTGACATTATACAGAATACTGTGCAGCTATAAGGAGATTAAAAGAAGGTATCCATCCCAGTTACAGAAATATCTCTGAGTTACACTGTGAAGTACAAAAAGCAAAATTCAGGGGCGCCTGGGTGGCTCAGTGGGTTAAAGCCTCTGCTTTCAGCTCAGGTCATGATCCCAGGGTCCTGGGATGGAGCCCCACATCGGGCTCTATGCCAGGGTCCTGGGATGGAGCCCCACATCAGGCTCTCTGCTCAGCGGGGAAGCTCCTTCCCTCTCTCTCTGCCTGCCTCTCTGCCTACTTGGGACTCTGTCTGTCAAATAAATAAATAAAATCTTTAAAAAAAAAAAAAACTAAACAAAATTCAGATCATACGTGATGTATAGCAGCTTACAGGTTGAAAGCCAGGTGTGTGGCATTCACAAATACGTGAATACACAGACACATACTTGCATCTGTGTGCATAAAAAAACAAACAAACAAAAAAACAGGGAAAGACAGACAAGAATTGAGAATAATTATGGGGAATGGTGAGAGGATACTAGGTAGATGAGGTACAGAGGTACAAATATGGGAGACAAATTTTTCATTGAGAAGTCTGCACAAACTGAAGTACTTAAAAGCTTTACTAAGAGAACAGTATTTTGCATTAAAATATCCAAAGCATGAAGTGAACCCAGTTTGGTTGGTCTGCTTCCTTGGAGACAATCCAAAGGCCACAACTGCCGTAAGCGACAGAGCCAACTTGCTCTGTCACCTAGTTCTGTCCTCACAGATGAGGTATATGGGTGCAAAAGCCTTCCAGCCAATTACAGCTCAAAAATACCATTAAGATAGCCTAAAATAAAATTGATTTTCTGGCATTTGAGGTTTAAAATCGTTTCTATATCCTCTAAAGAAACGGATTGCCCATAGCCTCCAATTCAGTCTACATCACAAACCCGGCCCTTGTCCTGTGTAGGCTGTTGTCCTAAGCAGGGAAAGCTCAAAACCTAAGCTTTTAGAGTAGGCCAGCGTCTTTTAAGTAAATCAATTCTTCTTTCATTAAAACACACACACACACACACACACACACACACACACGGATCCTAAGAAAACCTTGCTCATTTTTTATCCTTCTCCCCTTCGGTGTAGAGTTAAAACAAAAAGGTGTCTTCTGCTAACAGTAACACTGGTGCATCTGCAGGTACGCCAAAAGAATTATTCCTATCCTCTCCTGGAGGAGTAAAATCAGGGAACCTGGAAATAGATTTCTCTAAAAGTTGAAAAATTTTTTAAAGGGGAATAAAACAGAATGGTAAGATTCTTATTAATCTTCTTAAGCTGGTCATACATAAACATCCCGGATCTCTGTCAGCAGCTCCCTCCACATTTATAGGGAAAAGCACAAAAAAAATTGGTCTCACAAGCACAAGGTCATGTTTCCTCTCTATACCCCTTCCCTGCCCACTTCTGCTCCTAAGCTCACAGGAAGAGGGTAAAAGTTATGTACAGATGAGTACTATGTGTTCCTACTACAGCACTATGCATCTGGCGGCTTCTTGATTAATGTGTTTTGTGATGTTCTTAGTATTGGAGCAACATTTGTACCACCATCACATGACGTTCTACAGAAAAGAAAAATACACGAATGTGCGGTTTCTTCCAGGGTCACCCATAACCAGGCTCAAAACAGTGCAAAGCCAACACCAGCAGTCTGTCCTCATCATGGCAGACACCAGGCAGTAGGCTTTTTCTGAGCTCATCCCACAACTACCTTCTGAATAGGATCCTCACCCAGCCCCATCAGAAAACTCCCTTGGTATCAACTGGTAATCTACAACCAGCCTAATATTACTTCTGTGTGAATCAAACTCCAAATTCTTTAGCTAAAAAAAATAAGTTTTTTAGTTTGGCAGGCTTTTCCCAAAGAAGCTAATGACAAATCCACCAAGGTTAACTGCACAGGATAAATGCAGAGGCTGCAGACGCTGCATTTTAATAGGTCATAAGACAAAGTCTTGTCAAAATCAATCAACTCGCCACCCTATGACAAGGCCACCAAGCTGGAGCCTACACTGATCTCACACTTTCAAATCCTCTTCTCCATAAGCTTTGAAACACTGCAGTCAACAGGCATAAATATCTAACCGTAGCCAAAAAATATCATTCACTTTTAAAATTTGGATCATTAGCGCTTCTGCCATTTCACATATTTACACCCACACCAAAGAGTTATGCCAACTCACAGCATCTATCCGTAAAACGGGAGCCTAAACTGCATGACTTTTCTAGCTTCGGTAAGCAGATCCAAATGTTGACCCTAGTCGGGTGGGTCAGCAGAAGGAGCTATAGTCTCTTAGCATATGGACCCCCCCGAGCCCAGGCAGGAAAAGCTGTTATTACAATGGAATTAGAGCCAGGTCACTTGGAATGCCTAAAACCTTTTTTTCCCCCAAGTATTGCTACTCTGAGCGTTAATTTAGTTCAAAGACGACTTCACTTATTAGTAAGAGCCTCAAACAACTACTTCTTAGGTGGGGCTGGCTAGGACAAGGTTTCACTTTGGCTAAATATATTTCTATCTTTAGCAGTAAGCATTTCAGAATTCAACATTTGTAAACCTGACTCGGTACAGGATCCTGCTGGAGAACAGGCCAGGCATTCAACCTCTGGGGTCACAGAAAAATACAAGCTAACCTCAATGTCAGAGTTTAAAATTTCCCTTTCCAACTCTATGATCCAGGTGGGATGGTGAACTGAGGGTCGTCAAGGTATCCTAGCACGTGTCCAGGCAAGCGACACCGGGACAGGGTGGGGGATCTGACGGGCAGGCTGTACAGATCACCAGAATCACCTGCACAATTATTTAGTCCCACACCCAGGCTGCCAATAATTTTAAGATACCATTCGTTGTTGGGCCCCAAAACAGAAAACTTCTACTTCCCAAGTACATACATGCCTCCCTCCCCCAAATATACCAGTTCATGACGCAGTGGAAGGACAGCACTGGTTCCTCACAGAGTCGGCAATAAAGGAAGGCACGGAGATCAGCCGGCAATCACAGTGGGACTGCTTGTTTTGTTAAAAAGGAACAGGGAAACAAGGTTCTTTCTGAAAGAAGGTCGTGAGACTGGTAAATTCTAGCAGGAAAAAGCAGGAAGATAGTTTTTTCTAAGTCTGCATGTCAGAACCTGGGCAACTGTGGGGAGTTGTCCCGTTTCTCCAATGTGACTCCAGGTTGAATATTCACTAAAAAAGAGGTTAATACCTATCCTTTATTCTCTCTATATTTACTTAGGGTGTGATAGCATCGAAACAACACACATTTCTCCATCAATGTTAATGGCCACTAGTCAGCAGATGCTTTAAAAAAAAAAAGGTGAATTCAACCCTGTGCCAGCCACAATACAACTTCTTTTCACCAAATGAGTTAGCATGAAAATGAAGCATTTTATAAACTAAAATCTGTCACCCTTTGACATATTTAAAAAAAGTAACTGTACACTATCAACTTACATAGCCCCCACCATGCTCAGGAGTCATTAACTTCCATACAGTATACTGTGCACTGGACAAATCAACTGAACAACGGGACAAGTACGTCCAATAAACCAGCGAGCTTCATTATTCTCAGATGTCCCACCTGAACAAGCACTTATGTTAATGATAATCTACAAAATTCAACATCTGTCTAGAAAAATGCAAACAAGTAGGCCAAAACTGAACTCTGGCCACAAAAAATACCCTTTTCATAGGACTTGGACCAAACATAATGGAACGTATTCCCTCGCCAAACACTATACTTACCCAGCTTCCATGTACTCTGTACATTAGTAGTTTCCAAATTTTCAACCTCCTGGATATTGACAGACTCAAAAACAAACTTTCTTCAAAAGCAAAAACAAGCAAGGATATACCACAAAACCCACTGTTACAACATTGAGATTTCCTCAAAATCTCCCCTTTAAAATACATACGCAGCTTTTTAAAAAGTACATCGTGCCCGTTGTCTGCTGTTCCCTGTCATTAGGAGACTGTGGAAAGCTGATCGAAAGCCAGCTTCCAAAAGCTTAATGAGCAAGCCTGGCCCCACCCAGGCTGGACCCCGCTGGTGGAAGGCATGCTCAGTAGAAAAGCCCAGCTTGGTTCCAAGTTACTTCAATCCTCAGCTAGAAATCCACACGGGTCAAAGAAAAAGTCATCTCCCCGCTGCCTGTTCTACCCAATAAATGAACACTTTACAAAAAGAATGGTTTTAATAACGACTGTGATTTTATGCTTATAGTTGTTATAATTCTACTATTGCTGAAAAACTTCTCCATTTTTGCATCATTTTGGCTTGGCCTTGGGTTTGCACCCCTCAACTTTTCCTTCCGCCCCTCAACTTTGTTTTTATTTCTGTCATTTTAATCTACCCTACAAATAGACACCAAAAGCATATGTCTATAACATATAATCTAAGCTTCCTCAGTAAACTGCATCATTTTCAGATATACAAAAACTGGATAGACACATAGATATTTCATTTTTAGGTCTTGAAAACTGGACTATTTTGATGCATTTGTAAAAGAATTTGCTTATTCACCCTGTATTTAAAAATAAAGGCTCCTTTTAATTTAGATTTGTAGGTACAATCATACAGTGACAAAGCTGATAATGCCTTTTGTTATTGTCAATCCTAAATGAGAAATGATGGATACAAAAGGTAATCCTATATCCATAAGTCATACGAATATAGACACATAATGGAAAGCAAAATACATTTAAAGGCACTAAAGGAAAATGCATTAATTTTAAAATTCAGGTCAGAGAGATCTGAGAAATGACTAAATTTTCCTTAATTGTCCAATACCAACCCTCCGCCCCTTACATTTCCACCTAAATTCGGGTGTAAATGTGTGTTCCAATGCAGGTATCTACACTAGTAAATAAGATCCAAGATAGACTCTGGATCCTAGTACACATTTTTACCAACTCATCCCGCTATCATATTGCTCTCCAACAAGCAGTTCTTAGGTCAAGGAATATTACATGCTCACTTCACCTATAGAGTCTTAAAGAAAAGCCTTAAAATACAACAACAACAACAAAAACCCACAAAAGATATTTAAATAAACAAGATGTCATCTGTAGCCACAGGGAGAGAAAGGTAAGCTGTGCTTTATGGTAACCTAGTAAAAATATGTTCCAGTAGCCTCTCTGAAGAGATTGATCTCCGTCAAAATAAATACAAAACTTGAAAAAAAAAAAAAAAAAAGAAAAAAAAGGTAAAAAGTCCATTCTATATAATGGAAGTAAACTTTAGTAACCAAAAGGGAGATGTGGTGAGTTTTGGGAATTTTTTTGTGGGGTTTTTCTGGTAGAATTTTCAAGTAGAGCCAATCTTCGTCAGTTCAAAGCATCATCTTTTATTTAGACTATGTTATTCCTTTAATATTAAATGTGTTTATTAAGCAGTGTTATGCAATGGCAGATTTCAATATACTTGAAAAAATATTGGCTCCAAACCTTTTTCTGAAACATATTACTCTGTGGAGACCCTAAGTCTCCAAACTCCTGACACGTAGTGCTGCACCCCGTGAAGCTGACAATGGTAGATCTCCACAGTCCATTGCAGACATCTCCTATCACCCCTGGACTCCCTATACTCTTAAACTCTCCTACGGCTCTAGACTGAATTGTGTCCCCCCAGAATTCATACATTGAAGCACTAACTCTCAATGTGATGATATTTGGTGATGGGATGTTTTGGATATAACTCGATTTAGATGAGGTCACAAGGGTGGGGCCACCATGATGGAATCAGTGCCCTTGTAAGAGACACAGCCCAGAGCTTGCTCATTCTCTCCTGTTCTCTCTTGCTTCACTGTGTAGCAGCCAGCTACAAGCCATTAGAAGAGAGCCCTCACCAGACAAACGCCTTGCCAGCACCTTGATCTTGGACTTCCAGCATCCTGAAATGCGAGATAATGTGGTACTGTCTCAGAGCAGTCCAAGCTGATTAAGGCACCTACTTTCTGAATATGGAGCCCAATGCTACTGCTCAAGCGCCTCTGCTGTCTTCAATATGAAAGATCCTGCTCTTAAGACATCTGAATTTCACTGTTTAAACAAAGATTAAGAAAAGACAGGAAAGTGAGTTTTATGGCACCATAATTTGGAAAGAGAACAAACCAGTCCTATGGTAGATAAAAAGAGAACACAGAAAATACAAGTGAGTTTCCCAATTCATACACCCAGTAAGGTGGTAGACTCAGCATTTACACCAATTCCATCTGTCTTCAAAGCCAAGGCTACTTGGCGGTATCACAGTGAGCTCAGCTGCTTTCCCAAGCCAATGTACTTTTCCAGCAATGCTGCATTACTGCTATTTTAACACCTTTGTTCTCCAAATGGGTAAACTGAACCCAAAGAAGCGAAATGACTTCTCAAAGGTTACTCAGTGGGTTACTGGCGGAGAAGTACACAAACCAAGACCAGGGTCATTTAAAACGTTCATTCCCAGTAAGATTTTAAATACGTTAAAGTACACAAAATATATAAGGTGAACATCCACTAATGTCTTCCCATAAAAACACTGTTAATACAGATTTGTATCTATTACATCTGTCTTGGGAAGACCCTAAATCATGTTCTGACATGGTCCTTTTTCTCCATTAGAAGAGGTAATTAGGGGCACCTGGCTGGCTTGGTGAGGGGAACATATAGCTCTTGGGAGTAGAGATTACTTAAATAAAACTTTAAAAAGGTATAGTGAGTAGGGAATTAGATTATCCTCAGAATACTTTTTGTTCTTTTAGAATGCTATTTTTTAAGTATTTGGGGAGTTGGTCAGGGTTAGAGTATGAGACATTTTTCCTATATTTGTATATGTGGGTTTGTATATAAATAGAATTTTATGTTAAATCCAGTATCATAATTTCCTGACTTTTAAAACTATTATCTTCTACTTTATGAAAACAAAACAAAACAAAACAAAAAATGTAATTGACTAGGATGTAGAGGACCCAATAACCTAACCGGTCACTCATAACTCCCAAACCATAAGAGACAGAAACTCTGTGCAGAAAATAAAGTTACCAGTGTTGCAGAAAGACAATGATGACCATTCCTTTGGATCCTCCCACCTTTATCCCGCTAGCTTCTGCCTGAGAAGCAATTATCATCTATCACACCAGGGGGAAAAAAAGCAAATATTTTTCTGGCATGACTCTAAAATAACCTAAAAAATACTCCCTAAAACTCACTATTTTTGATTCTACTGATTTTACAGAGAATCCATTCTTCCTACCTACCAATCAGCATGCAAGACCATACTTCCTGAACAAACATGGAGAAAAGTTTTATCATTCTTTTAACCTCGATGAGCTTCCACTGGTCTGTAAAATGTTGTAACAGCCCACATTTCATCGTTGTTATCTGATATTTGATGTCAGCAAAAAGAAAAAAAAAAAAAAAGCCCACTCACTAGTTCCATGGCTTCTTTGCATAAGTTCTCCTTTGACCACATACCACCACAGTTTAGCTTCTCTCAGATTCTAAATCCAGAAAAACTTCCACAATTTGCCAAGTCTCATCCCTACCACATTTTTAAAAATGTAATATTCGAAAGTACTATAGATTTATGAGACTTTGGAGGGGAAAATAAGCTATATGGCCCTAGATTTTTTTTTTTTTTAAACAAAGGGCTTATAAAGAATAGGAACAGGTATGGGGGAGGACAAAGCATAAAGAGGTGGTGGTTAAGAAACCATAATCAAAAAGTTAATGTTCTGACACCATCTCAAAGGTGTTAAGATAAAAGGATTTGTTCAGAGCTTTAACTCAAAAGTCAAAAGCATCACTGTTAGAATTATACTTTCAGGCAACTACCGTAACCTAGCATTTACTTTAAAATGTATTCTTTTCATTCAGTTATGTCAAAGGATCATTTGCTGAGTTCCTCCTTTGCACCAGACACTAAAGCCTTGGGCTCAAAGGTTCTTCCCCATTCCAGCCCTCCGAGAATTCACCAGTCTGGCAAGAAAGGCAGATACATAAATAATTACAGCACGTGGGATAAGGGCTACAGCAGAGGGACAGGAAGGGCACAGCAAAGTGGACAACTCCCTTGAGGAGGCCAAAGAAGAAACTTATGGTGTTTAGGCTCCTTTGTATTGTTTTAAATGAACAAATACCACTGCTAATAATGTGGCAATGACACCCACTTTGCCTTAGATGTTAAAGACAATAAAAGCATCCACATAAAAAGCAGAAACAAAGACCTTGCTAGCATCTGGGAAACACCTTCAAATGGCCAAACAAAATGGGGTTTTCATAGAATAAAGAATTTAAAACCAAAAGGGATCTCGGCATCCATGTACTTCTAGCCCCTGCCTTTCATAGGTGGGGAAGCTAAAGCCCAGAAGTTAGACAACTCGTCCGTGCTATGCAGTAAGCCTGCAGCAGAGCCCAGACTGGGGGTCACATTCTGACTAATAAATAATCCCACTGTCTTTCCCTGGAGGACGTTACCCTGGCTGGATGAGAAGGAAAGAGCAGAGACACTAGTATGGAAAAAGCAGGGCATAGAGGCCCTTTATGGCTCTCCAATGGCCAGAAGGCATTAAGAGCCCAGAGACTAGGCATCTGGTGAACCTCAATGCTCCTCAGCTCTGCCCCCACTCTCTGCACCGAAGAAAATCCCTACACTCCCATTCCTTGCTCCTACCAGGGCGAGCCTGGGACACGTTACAGCGTATGGGATATGCAGCGCACAGCTACGGATCATGCCCTGGGCACGTACAACACCAGAGTGAGCCTCTCCTCATATCACCCGCGTAAGTCCTCCCTCTGCCTGACACAGGCCTTAAGCGCTTGTCTGGGCACCCACGTACTTTCAAAACCTTATCATTTGGTGAGCTCCGTCATTTGAAAATATAGCTCCATTTTATAGCTTCGCCTTTACAACTTAACTTTCTGGGGCTGAATGATCAAAGAAAACCCCCAAGCACAGGTGCTAATGTGCCTTATGCCCACAATCCACAGGCCCTGCCCACCCCAAACAATAAA